CAAGTGTCTTATACAGAATGACAGAGCACGTCGAATTGACCATTTTAAGTGATGGACCTTGATATTTTCTTATCTGTACTTTCGTCAACCTTTATAAGAAATCGTTATTTTTTCAAAAAACGCTTTGGTTAGTAAAAAAAATCGAGTGCCGAATTTTGAAAAACTGAGATAACACGAAAGCAGTAGAAATTGACCGGTGCAGCGTTACCGTTGGATCCCTAGTGAAGTGGAGTTCGATGCCTTTCCGGTATCGATTTTGCCATGAAGTTACATAGAAGGTAGCTTACAATGAGAGATTCGAATAGGAGACCCTTTTTCGATAACTCTTCTTTCAACCAATAAATCTGACAGATGTTGAAAGAAGAGCAAATCGAACTGGCTCAATCGTAACCAAATCGATCGTCGCTTTAGTTCAAGTCGATGAGTAGTAAACACAAGAAGACATGGTGACCCCAATATACAATTCTCCTCTTCCAGTAAAAAGAATATACTCCGCACTTCTAAGTCAAACATTAATGTATTATACTTATGCATTGAACAGAGAGCGCTAACAGTCACGATATTAGTAAAGCAACTTCGTTTCCAATCTTCATAACATTCGATCAAAAGCTAGAACTGAACTTCCAACTTTTATTTCACGTCGAATTTTATTAAAGACGCGTCAAAACACTTTCAATGACTTCGATCTAACTGAATATTTCATATGATTTCAAACCAAAACTTTCATTTGAACTTGAAGCATCCTTTCCTTGATCGATGGACGTCTTCCCTACGTGGATGTAGCGCTCCGGAACGATTTCAAAAGAAGCCGGAAAAGTTATTTTCAAGCGTTTGCACGGCACTTTAATGAGTATTTAAGAAAGATACTTTGACAATGCAGCCACCATGAGTTTTTACAGAAGAAACATAGGAGTATATGAGTAACATCTGGAGATAGACAACAGTAATCGACTCAAAACGGGTTCATAATTTCTGAAAGAAGATATTCTTACTAAAAGACTTGAGTTCAGTAGAACCTTCCTGTTTCGAAAATCAAATCCTTACGATCACTAGGTGAATATATTCTTATACGAGTACGATGACAGCTTGTCTTCTTTCAGGAAAGATCATGCGAATCAATATATGATGAGGACTATCTTGTTTTAAATGCAATCCAGGTGTGAATGTGGGCCTGGGTGTAGATGAATATCCACACTCACACACAGAGATCCACACCAACACCGTTACGTAGTGCGCATGCCGATGGTGCCAAGTCAGTCTAGTATCTTTTGTTCCATCTGATGGTGAAAAAATAATCAACATGGTCGTCCTTCATTATTTGACGACATGTAGACATTTAGAACAAGGCGGAATTTTCGACCTATAAATAGTACCATGACTCAACACCAGTGTCAGTGTAATTTACGCTCGCTGCATCTATAGATGTTGTAACAGCATTTCGCATGTCCTGAATCGACCCAAAAATGGTCGAATTATGAACAACAAAAAAATAACATTTTTTCATTAAAATGAAAACAGTGTGTTAGCTGAAAAAGAGTTGAAGCAAAATGGTTCGCAAAAGAGATTACGTTGAAGCATAAGATGGTCGAAACTATCTATCCTCGAATTGTGGCTTTCTAGAGAGAATATTACAGTTAAAATTTTCGATAGAAAACGGTTCATTCATTCTACGCTTTGAACAATCGTGTCTAACTCATTATAACTTGTAATGTATTGCGACAAACGCCAGTTCTCTACCTCTTTTTGTAATGAAGTGCAGTTAGAACAGTTTATGCTAACAGTATGTAGACTTGAACCAGTGAACTGCAGACGATATACTCATATTATCGCTGATCAGTATCGCCTGAACTGACCGAACTAAGGTGTGCTTACGACGACCTATCACTTGTCTTATTTTTCATCACTCATGCTATCTTTCTTGGCAATATAAAAGCAAGGACATGGAATCAGAGCAAGAAGGTAGAGAAGAAGATAACAGAAAAAAATACCTCTCCTTGTCATTCATTCGAGAGAGTGTCTGTCTATGTGCCATTCTCTTCAATGAAAAAAATGTGTTTTTATTCATGTCATATCTGCTCCATCATCGATCAGCTCACGCAGAAGAATAATGCATGACCTTGTTGTCCGTCTACCAAAATGATAACTATCTACTCAAATTGCAATCATTTCTTCTGTTAAAAAAATATTTTACAACTCATTAATGACTTCGATTGAAGTTGGATAATATGATACAAATCGATTTTCTACAATTTTGCTACTCAAGCTTGAAATTATCAATTAGATCAGCATTATTGCTTTCATCTATACATGTTTGAAACGTAGTCAGAAGAAGTAACGATGATATCTGACGTAGTTAATCGATGTCTTTCTTAAAATTCTAATCGATCTGCTCCGTAGCAAGCAGTTCGTCTTGAAAAATGCCAAGACGTACGAACACAAGTCACTCAGATTAGACTGTTATGATATCTAAAACAAAGAATAACCTACTTCTACATTGAGTTATGACCTATATTTCTCAAATAAATAGTAGTGTCATCTGCGCGTGCTACGCTCCTACACATAAGCCAAGGGTAGAACTGTACTTTTTGGAGGATCGTACTTTTCATCTCATGCGGTATACAAATTACAAGTTGTATATCCCATAGCTATGTACACGAAGCGCTTTACTAGAAAGAAAATAAAGTCACTCTGCATCTAGTTTCAACACGATGAAACTATATCAGAATTATGAAATGCACCTACCTGGTGAAATCGTACTTGAAGTACCAGTTATGTTCGTCGATGTCGTGCCTATAAAGTATTCGTTCATTAAATTCATATCCACTTAACATCATTAGAAATGCTATACTGTGAGCATGAGCTCTTCCTTGTTCAACCATTATACCTAGTTACTAACACTTCAGGTTGATGTCTCTGCTGTATAGTTATAGACAGAATGAACGAATTCACACTGATGTAAACACCAAACACAGATAGAACGCGTCTAAACGTATCTTTTGTTCCAGCCAAATGCATTTAGATACGAATTCATCGACACGAATTCGAAAGCGCGTTCAAATGTGCTTCAAATTCCAAACAAGTTCAGGCACAATTTGAATGATCGTTTCGATGCTCTTCGAGCGCGGTTGGATGCATTGAAACATGCTTTGCAGTTTAACAAAGGTAATAGTTTAAAACTATCTGTGCAGGTGCTTCCGTTTATCGCTCTCAGAGTCAATATTGTTCGTAGTTATTGCCTGAGTGTATATGTTCGCGATCAACCTCGAGTTCCGATCAATCTCCAGCTAGACGCAAAATCATCAGATTAATCCCGGATTCGTATATGCCTATGTGAGATTAGATGGAATCCAAGATGGGACGCTTACACATACACAAGTCTATTTATTAAACGATGTTCGCAATGAAGCTGACGCGAGTGATAGTACTCTGTGCGAGGTGAATTTTAGTATCAGTGGACTGTGACATATAGTTTGATCTGTCTCAGCCATCACACCCAATGAAAAAGTTTTCACGGTATAATGGTTGTCTCTGATCGCTAGCTAACAAAAAGGATCAATTTCGGTGATTAGTCATGCACACTAAAAAAATAGTGCATCCCATTTTGGTGTCGCCAGATTACGTTGTAGTATCAGTGGTAGAAATGTGCCGTGCTTCCTGGTATCACACAGAGTGTGTCGTCTCTACTGTGGTAGAAATATGTTGTACGCAGTCCTCATCGCCAGACACACATGCGTCATAAACTACGACATATTATTTTTCGTGCGTGCATCTGTTCTTTTTTTACAAATCTGTTTTGGTTTTGCACTACATACCGAGTAACGGCGATATGTCATTCCCAACTTTGAGTGTTATTTTGGTAAAAAGAGAGAATGGTTTTGCAGAAATTGGCAATCAACGAATGAAGTGCAATTTTAATATAAAAAATTGATATCGTTAATAAAGCGGCTTAGTCAGGACATATTTTTTTCTGTTTCTAGCTCGAAGATACGTAAGGACCGGCCAGGATAAGTGGGTTATCGGTAATCGAAGTGTCTCGTGGTTTTTACAAAACACGTGACAAGCAACTAAGTCCTACTCGACAGATCCAAACACATGACGATTTTCTCGCATAGCCTCGACTACACACCGTCACTTTCGGTATCAGATATGTTGCTTGTTTCCCTCAACAGAGTAGATGCAACTGAGCTTCTGAGCTGTTGTTAAAAGGAGTATAAAAACATAAAGTTATAGTATCGGCTCTCTAAGTAAAATGTCACATCAAGCTGGAAGTGTTTTCACTTACGTAAGCATAGCTCTTGTCTGAGGCTCACATCATGAATGGTGAACATATGCTTTCCTAGCTTAACTTTGAACAAGGGATACTTTTTTAATAGTTCAGGAATATGGCACAGAGGTGCCGAATATACTTGTCTACGCATGCAGCCTTACAGTGAAAACTTTTGATGTTGGAGAACTCTAAGAAAAACTTTTGACAACTGGTTACTCGTCTCATTGAAAAACGAATTTTTCAGATAACTTTTGTTAAAATGAATTACTCTATCTTGAGCTACCCACCACAAATCAGCAGGATAGATCAAACGGCGGTTTGTTCTAGGGGCATGAAAAGTGGAGAAGAGAAGAGCGGAACTCCTCTGCCTTCGAAAGTTTTTTAATAAATAAGATATCTGTGCTATTTGCAATATAAAAAACCGAGTTTTCCATTTCATTCATATTGAATTATAAAATTTTCGGGTCTAATCTTTAATAATTATGCTTCGAAAAGCAGACGCCTGTGATAATATAAACTTTATATTCTTCTGTATCGAACGGATTCTGAATTGATAGGTCTAGTACCGTCATTTTTTTCTTCGTGAACGTGTACACTTTAATAAGTGAAAAAACTGTGGATGGACGATATTTTGCAAAAAAGTGGCGTAGAGAATCACCTGTGGGACACAGAAAGATATCATTTATCGACTGAAAGATACTAAAATGGTGACTCTTTAGGCACAGTGATCCTTTTATGCATACATACCAGTTGAATTCGTTCCACTCCTACGAATCAAAACAAGAGATACGACGATGGCCATAGCGAATATGCTTGCGCTGCAAATACTTCCAAGAATGATCAGCAAGATTTCTGCTGGTGTAATGTTTCCCCTCAAAATGAAAAGTCATACAACTAAAATTGTTGGAAAGAATAGTTAGAGGGTATACCATGCGGCGGTTGATGATGGAATTGATGGTAGATTGATATTGTTCTGATCGACAGTGGAAGGTAGTGCATAGTCCTAGACATGAGATATTTTAAGAACGAACATTTTTCTTTTACGGTTTCAGATATAACGCTTTTATGAAAGTGGTACCGATCGTAGCTACCGCGTACTGTTAATTCTTGAGAGTACTTTCTATTGTTCACTGGTATACACAATGTTTTCTAGGTTTTCGTGATGAAACCTAATATAGTGTTACTAGAAGCTGTCAAAGACAAAGATGAAAACTTTGATATAGCTGAAACCAGAGCTGGGGAAGTCCGATACTATTCGAGTTCGAGTCCGTCTCGAGCAAACCATCGGATCGGGAGCACGACTGTTGTGTGTAAGACAATTATGTGCAGACAATTGTGTGTATGGACAATTGCGTGCAAGAAAATTGTGTGAACAGACAATTGTGTGTTACATGTTTGTGTGCAGATAATTGTGTACAAAATCAGTGTGTGCTATGTGCAACTAAATATTTTTGTCAAAAAACAAGTGAAAGACAATAAAGGAAAAAAAGTAAACAAAACAACAAAGATTAATCAAATGAATAAATCAATGAAGAATTATAACATGAATGTATGAGCGATCGCTTTTATTTTTTGTACATTATCATCTGTAGAATTCTCTAAAATCCGTAAAATTCTGGATGCTGTGTTGAGTTTGGATTCGCTTTGGTTTTGGTACGAGACCTGTTACTAGATGAGAAATTTCACCATGCACGTATGATTGCTCTGTTTGAAGGTCACTCAAAAAACGCCAAAATCCAGGATGAGCTGAATCTACGATATTGTTAAGTCGTCGGTCCCATCCTTCGACGGCGTTGTTAGTGTGGTCAAACTGATTCTGCAACAAATTGTGCACATTCCAAAATGTGATTGGAAATAGTAAAATTATTCTTCTGTTACGACTTCGAAATCTACCTGTGTAGTAATCTTCAAAATAAATCTATTATTCTCACTTGTTTAAATGCTTTCAAGGAAAATTGATCTATGTGCATGCATATGACCGTCAGTTCTCATAATTGTCTTACACACAATGACCTCATCTCATAATTGTCTTGCACACAACAGTCATAGACCCCTCGGATCAGGTCCTCAAAAGATGTCGTCCAAACTCATTAAACTTGTATAAATAATTTTGCTGCTTGCTGCCGCTTAGGGTGTGAGTGTGAGTAAAGAAGAGTAGACCACCCACACCCACACCCCAAACTAAATGGTCGGTCGGTCTGACTTGATCTAGTCTGCAGGCGTTTGCCTCGCTACCAGCCCAGGCTGATGGCTCTGGCATCTACAATGTCTCACGCATCCTGTCCTTGTGTCACAATGAATAAGCTTTTAGTCGTATTTCCGAGAATGCCTAATCATACTTCATTATCTTATCAGATCAGACGGGAACTATCGAAACATTATGAGAACTCTCTATCGAACGATCAAGTTCTTCGGTAGTTATTGAACGAACAAGGGACAGCCTAAGATCTTCTCAGATCATACCAATTATGCCAATTGAAGAGTCGTGCAAAAGTACAACTTTCATGCTCGACTCTAGGAAAGTTTCTTTCTAATCATACCCGGATAGGTAAACGTTCGACTCTGTTAGTACAAATATTTTTGGCGAAGGTATTTGAGGCGAGATCAGTGATTTGTCATCAATAGGAACTGTGATCGCTGCAATATTTGCAGTGTTCGTCTTTGTCAACAAAGCTTAACTCAAATAAGCGATTTTTCTAAACAGAACCCTACTAAGTATTCTATTTGAATACTGGTTTTTACGTCAGTGACGTGACAACTTCACCGCTCATTCTTCAAAGAAATTTTCTCACAATGTCGGATGCTTCAGCATACGCATTAGTCATGGTTTCAATCAATTAGATGATCTCTTGCGCTATGTTACAAACTCAAGTTAAGCACAATTGTAGAAGAGATAGTTGCCTCTCAAAAAATTGCTTTCACTGTTCTGAAAATTTTTTCTCCCAGCCGGAAAAACACCATTCGATATGATATATAAAGTTAGTATCGAATATCATCGAGTTAGCTAGCAGAGATGGTGGAAAAATGGAGGATCTGACTGTCAGATAGTATCAGACTTGTCGTTCTACCGATACGAAAGTATTTGAAGTATTTTCCTGAGTTCACCGCTTCTGATGTCTACTCACTGGCATGGTCGCAATCGCTGTCGATGTTTATCTGGACGTTAGACTACAAAGAAATATTAGATTGTTCTGTTTTGCATCGATATACAGAAGCACTCATTATATTAAAGTTCAATACCTTCTTTTTTGTTGTTTGGCTGCGTGTGTCTTTTTGAAGGAAAGAGTCTATAATGCGTGCCTTTCAACAGCACTTATTTATCTTAAACATTATGCATTCGCTTCGTGTAATGCGTCACACGGCAGCTGCTATATGCTTCAAAGGCTCGAACAACAGAAGCGATGAGAATACCGTCGTCATTAAGAGAAATGGCAACGTTGATGACTTTAATTATTTTAAACGTCGTTGAAGTAAAATAAAAGTGATCAAAGTAAAGCACGAATCAAGGTGTCTGAATGATATCGGCAAAAGACACATACATGATATTACAATAACTTTTTTTACTGCAATATGACATCCAATATTCGCTAAACAGGCGTCTTCAACACGTCGGAGAGCTCAGTGGCTTTTATTAGTTCAGCAAGAAAAACAAATAGCTTGTTCTGGTTATAATTATTTCGAATAATCGACGAATGACAGACAATGATCGGTGTTAGTTGAATTTGAGAGAATATGTGTGTAATCCACATACAACTGAAGAAGAAAATGTTTGTCACGCAAAAGATGCAAATGACTTCTGATAAAATACAAATCAAAGACCTTCATCAAAAATCGTGACAAAAAGGATAAAAAATATCACAATATACAGATTCGATTTGCTATAACTTCTGGAACACACAACAAGTATAAAATTCTTAAAGACAATACTTCATCAATCAAATCAACTTATCAAAATATCACAACTTCCACCTTGAGCCTTAGAAGAATTCATTTCTTTTCGACGACATACATGCACGTACAGTTATTTTCTTTTTGTTTGTGTCATTTTTTATGGAGCTATTTTGAAGATATAATGTCTTAGTAAAGCCTATACATTGTGCTAGTGTACGATGGAAGAGTATGGCATAATGGTAACTTGATGTGATCAACGCAATTCTGTCTCTGTAGGTTCTGCAACTACTGTGTGTTGAATTTGAACACTTGAAAAATTGTTCAAGAAAGAAGTTCGCATGATTGTATCTCATATATTCTTGTTAATTTCGACGATTTCTTTCTTCTCACCATGTAGTCGACGTTCATATTCTTAATTCACTATGGAAGAAAATGGTGATTCTAGAAAAAATAGAAGCCTCGATTCTCTCTTAAACAGGTGCATCTCGCACAATGCAAATCAACGACGATTCTCTTGAAGAATGAAGTTTTTTCATCAATCTTCAGAGTAATGAATGTGTCCGTAGGGGAGAAATGGCATAGATCCAAGGTAAGAGAAGCGAGTCATAATGGAAAAGCGAGTTATTAGTTAGAAAGCTACGTATTTCTGTTGCATTCATCCACTCATATCAAAAGGAAGAAAAAAGCTATTTACTCGGTTTGCTTCTGTTGACAACAGTTACTTAGGAGACAACTGGTGAAATCAGTACAAGAGCTTCCATAAGACTACCGAAGCATTCTGTAAGAGAACCATAATATGGTCAAATCTCAAATTCACTTCTACCTATATTCATTCGATAGTCCATGTCGAGAAACCCTTGTAACCAAAATTTTAGACTAAACAAATACGTTCTCATTGAGATATAGGAGTTTCAGAAGAAGGGCTATTTTCGGTTTTCTCAAAAATCAAGCATCTCTATTTCAATCCTTTCTCGACCATTCCGCAACCGATTTTTTTTGACCAACGTCTTATTTGATACGGCGACAAACGATCGTTTACGACTGCCATTATGTTCGTTCTGGGATAATTTGAGTAGAAATATGTTCGTTGCAGTCTGAAAGACTCGAAATTGTTATTGTAAATGTTCTTAAAGACACGTATGAAAATATATTTGCTTTTTGTTCGACTGCTATGTCTTTTTGTACAATCACTGCGAAGAAAAACGAAGCAAAAAAAAATTAACATACAGCAATAGAAGTAAATGCATTTACTCTGCAGGTATCTGGAAGAAAAAAAAGAACGATTGGTAATTATGGAAGGATAACAGGCACGATGTTTGACGAAAACTGGTTTGAATTGCGCACTTACATTCAAGAATAAACATGAAATAGTTGTATTAATGTGTTCTTTACTTTCACACGCAATATGAGATTATTCTGACCGAAAGTCGAAAGAATGATAGTGTTAAAATAGTAAGGATTCGATTTGCTGTTGAAAGAAAAAATACTACTGTTGATTCTTCTGTCATTTATCTTTGCCTTGTCATGTTGAAACAAACTGAGATAATGTAGGGCGTGAGTGTGTGTATGAAGGAAGAGAAGACCGACACCCCACACCCACATCCTATCGATTGTACCGTAATCATTTATCGAAAATTACTTTGAGTACAGTGAACACATCCTCCATTGATAAGTATCAGCTATTTGTATTTTTTCGTAACTTTTATAGTTATTTTTTTCGAAATTATTATTTTTATGGTAAAATATTTTTGAAAAAGCATTTATAAATTATGATAGAGAATTTGAAGCTCTATCAGAACATATAGTTACTTTGTTTTAAGAAATAATTCTATATTTGATGAAAAATCTTTAAAACTAATTTTGATAACTGTAGCAAAATTAAGCCCATGACAGTATGGTGATGACGGTACCTTCATTTATTCATTTCAAGATGTCTATAATATATAGAGTATTCAAAAAATCAATAGCCAAAGAAAGATTCGAATATTTCCGTCATTTTTCGACCTAGGACTAATATTTGTACTGCTGATACAGGAGTGTTTATAGTTAGTATTTGTAGGATAAGTATTGACGAAAATTATTTTGATGCATCACAACTGACTTCAACAAAGAACTGTAATCCTTCATAAATTATGAAAAAATAATATCACAGTTTTCTCAATAAATTCATTCGATTAATTGTTGAAACTTTTAGCACATAAATAATAATAGGACATGTATCAATGGTATACATCTAAGCCTAAACTACACTAATGTAGAAAAGTTATTTAAAAAAGTTGGTATGCCGTTTATTCTTGGTAAGAGAATGAATATATCGCTTTTTCATAACTCATGATGGCTTACAGTTCTTTATTCAAGTCAATTATGATACGTCAAAATAGGTTCTTATCAATGCTTGTCCTATGAATAATAAGCTATTAACAATACTCTATCAACGAAAAAAAAGTCAGCTCGTTAGGTTAAAATATGACGAAAATATTCTCATTTTTCGTTGGCTAATGACTTTCTGGACATTGTATATGCGCATGAAAAAAAAGTGTTCGAATAAAATGTTTCGTATATCGTAGCAGCAGTCAGTCGGAACATATCTTCCTGCAACCGTTAATATCAATAAGAGTATAAACTACGCCAATTTTTGAAAAAAATAGTTCCCTGTCTATACTCAAAAACCCACGATCTTCCAATGCTCTGTTTAAAAGATATAACTACGACAATTTTCTATACCCTTTTTTTTCTACTTTTAACATATATTCTGCATTATGTGATGGTTTTTTCATTCCTTTTCTTTACTCATGCGAATATATGTGAGTGAATATCGATATATATATATATATTGATGAAAGACTACCACATCAAATGACAAGTACAGTAATAAAAATAATGAAGGAGAGCAACGAAAAAAGGTAAGTTTTTATCAACCCAAGAAATTCCAGACTGCGTCGAACAATACGACAAGAAATAAAAGCGAGTATAGGGCTTATTATGAATTTGTGAGGCTTTGACACATACATGAATTGAATCGATCTATATAACACAGTAAGAAGATATGCAGAACTCGCTGAAAATCAGCAACATACCAATGACTTCTAAACGTCGATAAGACATGATCGATATTCATCCTTTTTCTTTTCATAAATTTAATATCAGAGAAGAAAGATGTTCACATATGATAGATCATTATTGAGAAACAAAAGAATTTAATTTTCATTTTTGAGCTATCAATTTTGTAGAAATCCATGTTCATAGAAAGTACTTTTCATAATACTCACTGTACTTGTTGGTCTTCTTTTCATTTCTACCGTTGTGTTGACCATCTTGTTTGGAGTAGAACGAAACAAATCAAAAGGCATTTATTCTTATATTAAATGAAAAAGTGATATATGAGCTAGTGCATATAAACCACGACTGAACTTGCTCAATCGAGGTCGTCAGATTTTGTTCAATTTAAGATATATTGTAGAGAAAAGTGTTTCATGAATTTTGCCGCAAACCATTTTAAAAAACATTGGTTCTTTGATTTTGTTATGAGCATTTTATGAAAAGTCCTAAAAGTGACTATATCATTAAACGGAAGTCCTAATAGGATTATATCTCAAGAACGGCTAAACCAATTGAGCTGAAATTTTCTATAGATATATATTCCAGAGAGTTCTATTTATCATAAAACTTTTGTCTCAAAATATTACGCCGTTGGAATTTTATAAATCACCCAATATATGTAAAAAAAAATGAAAGTTTTCAGAGGTTAGGCTATCTTCCAAGAAATGGATCACCTTGGGAGCTGATATGTAGAAATTAGAAGTGCTGTCTTTGGACAAGAATTTTATAAAAAAAAATAGCGTGGAATCTTCAAGAATAGCCCCAGGAGATCTATTGAAAAATACTAAAAAATGAACCGTTTCCTATAGGAAATGTATCCAAATTTGCATAGAAATTACTCCAAGAGTTTATCATATGAGATAAATTCTACTTAGGAAAAATTAGCATACGATCCTCTATTACCTTCCATAAAAATATTTTTTCAAAATGAAAAAAAATTTTTTCCGAAAAATTCTCCTAAGGAGGTAGGAAATTCAGAGAAATAAATTTATCTCAAAAGGCCTGGATGGGATGCGGGAATTTTTCGAAAAAATTTTTTTCATTTTGAAAGAATTTTTTTATGGAAGGTAATAGAGGATCGTATGCTAATTTTTCCTAAGTAGAATTTATCTCATATGATGAAACTCTTCGAGTAATTTCT